ATGTCGCAATTTAGTTTCAGTATTGTTCTTAAACTATGCTAGTTTAAATGGCTTGATTAAATTCTGTAATTGTTTGCAAAACTATTGTAAACAATCTTGGGGAATGCTTCTAGACTAAATTAAGAGTCCTAAGATTAGTTTTAGAGACCAACAGAGTGGTTGAATTTGATCAGAGAAGGAGCGGACAGATTGAAACGAAGCAACGGGGACAGGGGCTCTCAAAGGAGGTGAGAGCCGGCTCCACAGAAGTGGGAGCCGGCTCCCACAACAAAGTAGAGCCGGCTCTAAGAAGTCCTAGAGCCGGCTCTAGGCTGGAAAAGAGCCTGCTCCAAATTCTGGAGCAGGCTCCCTTGTTATTTTTGATTTATTTTAAGTTTTTTTAACTTTTCTAGGTACTATGTTCACTGTTTGGGCAATCTGGGTTATTAATCAGTTTTAAAATTTTAGTTGGGTGTTCAATAATCATTTTAACTTGTAACTAAGGTCTTGAATTGCATAAATTTACCCCTTAGTTTAAATGGAATTAACAGTACGCTATTTGACAACTTTCCGTACAGTTAACGGCTGGAAGGAGATTTGTTGATTAATTTTAATCTGATGGTTTAGGGGTTATAAAATGATTTTAAATTTATTTTAGATGCACGATTAAGTCTTTTAAAGTAATATATTGGACTGGTGGCATAGAAGGGGGCTCTGTGCTAAAGGATACAGCACAATATAAGTATATGACTTAGTGTTCTGTTCCGGATGGAGGAAACTAGATCGCTTAGTTTAATTTAGCGATTTATTGGACTATAATATTATTATAGAACTAATTGTAAATACATGATAGGGTCAGTATTTTATTAAATTTGAACTATGCATGTGTTGGATGTTAATTGATAGAATAGTTTATTCTCCGATGCAATTACATGGATTATTACTGGATTTTATTTGTTAGAATGTTAAGATTCCTTCTGCAAGTATTGGATGGTGGTTTTTGGTCTGTAAATTATTGAACTGTTATATATGTTGTAATTTAATGGATATGGAGGATTGTATGTACCGGTATGGGACGGTGACATACTAGGGACGGTTTAGCTCAAAACGCATAAACCTAACCTAATGGATTAATGGAATGGATTGAAAGATATCGAATCCTAATTGTGGCTAAGTCAGATCAGCTGTAACCAAGTTGGATGACTTCCTGGATTAACGGATGGTAGTTAAGCCATATCAACTGAATAAGTTGAGTGACTAACTAGTTGGTTTATTGTAGGTCAGTTTAATAAATAGTTCAACTGCTTACCCTGGATTTGGACGGACTTTATATATATGTTTATGGTACCACGAGTTAAGCTTGAGTCTCAGACTCGTTGGTTAGGGTGCGTATATGCAGTGGATGCGTAGCTGGTTATAATAGGTTGAGGTGTACCCTGTTAGGTCTAGGTACTCATGCCCACCTTTGGGTGCGTATTCGCATGTTGCCTTCTATTCAGGTTGAGACCCCTATTATAGACTAGTGAATGTCCTTTAGTGTGGATATATTTATACGTATGGACTAGATAGATATTGTGAGGTGTCTACGGTGTATCTGCGTATCGGGTCACTGTATGGATTGCAGTTAGATTAGAACTTGCTCGTGGGTCTGACCCACTCCTTTATTATTCTTTTCAAGTACAGGACGGTTCCAGCCTTAGAGCTTGATCGTGCTTGTCGAGGACAGTCTCACTTTCATCTGATTACGTAGGACGTCTCTCGATGTTTCTAGTACTATCTATTTTCAGTTTCATTCTCAGTTGAACTTTTAGTTAGGGGTCCATCACAAGTTGTAACTTTGAGGTTTTGGAGGATTGGAGTTTCAATTTTCAGTTGTACATGGAGGATTTTATAATTAATGTTTCTTTCAGTTTTATTCTATCTTTACTGTTCTTTTTGTCATCTGTGTTCGTTTTAAAATACTTTAATTGTTTGATATTCCCTCGGGTTCGGGCCTAGGCCTGATCAACCCGTGTCTCAGATCCGAGGGGTATCACACACAACTTAAGGATCAGCAGTGCATTAACAAAATTGCAGAGATAACTTATGTGGAGGTTCCATTTTACTATGTTAGGGTTGATGGAGGTTTGATGTACAAGAGACGGTTAGTGGTACCTTCTGCTGACGATTTGAGGAAGGATGTGATGACGGAGACACACCATTTTGAGTTTTCTATTCATCCAGGAGGGGACAAGATGTATCAGGATATGAAGCGGCAATTTTAGTGGGCAGGTATGAAAAAGGACATTGCTCTTTTTGTCTCTCGTTGCAGTACTTGTCAGATGGTCAAGATTGATCATCAGCGGCCGCTAGGAGCTCTACAGCCACTACCTATACCGGAGTGGAAATGGGAGAGTATTTCTATGGATTTTGTGGAGGGATTGCCCAATTCCTTCAAGGATCACAATTCCATTTGGGTCATCGTGGACAGATTGATTAAATCAGCTCATTTTTTGCCTATTCGCACTGACTTCACTTCGGAGCAGTTGGCGAGACTTTACATTATAGAGATTGTAAAGCTGCATGGAATTCCGTTGTCTATTATATCGGACAGGGATTCGAGCTTTGTGTCAGGATTCTGGAAGAGTTTTCAGGAGGCTTTGGGTACAGAGTTGCATCTTAGCATTGCTTATCATCCTCAAACCGATGAACAGACTGAGAGGGTTAATCAGATCATGGAAGATATGCTTCGGTCTTGTGTTCTTGATTTCAAGGGCCACTGGGAGGATTATTTGCCGCTTGTGGAGTTTTCATATAACAATAGTTTCCAGAAGACTATTGGGATGGCACTATTTAAGGCATTGTACGGTCGACCGTGTTGATCGCCTGTTTGTTGGATGGAGGTTGGCGAGAGTAGATTCTTGGGTCCAGAATTCATCAAGGATATTTCGGAGAAGATCTCTCTTATTCGGGATCACATGCGCACTGCCCAGAGTAGGCAGAAGAGTTATGCCGATCGTCGCACTCGTGCTTTGGAGTTTCAGGTTGGGGATAAGGTTTTACTCAAAGTGTCTCATATGAAGGGGGTAATGCGCTTTGGGAAGAAAGGGAAGTTGTCTCCGCAATTTGTCGGTCCATTCATGATTACGGATCGAGTGGGAGCTGTCGCTTATCGGTTAGCACTTCCGGATAATATGGATCGAGTACACAACGTGTTTCATGTTTCAAAAATTTCTGCGAGATGAGGATCGGTATCAGCATATCGATGTTGGGGAGATTGAGTTGCAGCCGGATGCAACTTATTTGGAGTTACCGTGTCGTATTATCGACTGTCGGGATCAAATCCTTCATAATAAGGTTATCCCTTTGGTGCATGTTCAGTGGAGTCATCACAATAAGGCTGAGTCTACTTGGGAACGGAAGGATGTCATTCGCTCGCAGTTTCCTTAAATATTGGAAGAAGGTAAGAGCGAATTCTGAGGATGAAATTCCTTTTGTTAGGGGGGAAGATTGTAATACCCCTAATTTTAAAAGGATAGTTTCAGCATGTTAATATTTTTTTTTATTGCATTTTTATTTGTTTAATTATTAATTTTATTTGTTTAATCGTTTATTTGTATTTATTATTTTATATTTGATTTATTTGAATTATTTAATTATTGTGTGTTGCTTTCTTTAATTCTTTAGTTGTATTTTCTATTTGGAATTCACCTATTTTAATGAGATTAAATTAGTTGTATTTTATGTTGGTTTTCTTTAATTAAATTAATTGTAATTGGTTAGTAACTTATATATGTGAAAGGGTTTACATTACTGTGGAGGGAAAAATCTCCCTCCAATGAGAACTGTACACGTCATCGCAATATAAATATCCATCACAAATGTTAGAGGCCCATCCTACTCAAAGCCCAGTCCAAGCTTGTTGACAGCCCAAAATCATAAGACACTAGCCCAAGGTCACAGCTAATTGATCTCTGTAGCATTGCTCAAGCCAAAAACAAGAGATCCAGCCCGTTAGCAATGTCACATGGATTAAGTTACTTATAGCCCAAATCCATTCAAAGGAAATTAGTCTTATTAGAAGAAGGATACAGCAAAGAAAGAAACTACTAAATAAGAAAAATTATACAAAGGAAGGAGCTCTATTTGTAAAGAATGTAGGGAAAGAATTGGAGGACAAGCAATGCGAGTCCTACCATAATTCAACTAATCTTTTGTGTATAAATAGAGGCACAGACCTCCAATAAAAGGATCAAGCAATTCTACGCTTTTCTATATACTGTTCTTGTTTATTTTTATTGTTTGTTGAGTGAGTTGTTTTATTTCTCTGAATCATTATTGGTTGGGCGAAATTTTACACCTACACTTTGGCTCCTGTGGAGGGAAAAATCTCCCTCCAATAAGAATTGAACACGTCATCACTATATAAATCTACATTTGGTAGATTTCAGAAGCTCATCCGGATCAAGCCCAAATTACATTATTCTTTAACCCAATATCATTTGTATTGGACCTTCAAGGCCAGGTAAAAACATTAATCAGCCCAACGTCACTACTGTTGAAGTTCTGGCCTATTGGTCAAGTCATTTAAACCGAGTTGCATCCGGCCCAAGTACAATTAAATATTGTCCAGTCCTATTAAGCAAAGGATTCAACACAGAAGAAAGTTCTATGCAAAACAAGTTCTACGTAGGAAATATTATACAATAAAAGGAATTCTATTTGTAAAGAAAGTCATGTATGGGAAGAATTGGAGTCCTACCTTAATTCTACCAATTTTTGTGTATAAATAGAGGCCCAGACCTCCAATAAAAGGATCCAGGCAATTCTATACTTCTCTATACATTGTTCTTGTTTATTTTTACTATTTTTGAGTGTGTTGTATTATTTTTCTCAATCGTTATTGGTTGAGCGAAATTTTGCACCTACACTTTGGCACCGTCTATAGAACGTGTGCAAATATATTCCCACTCTTGTTTCATAAGTGAATCATGTAACTACCATCCGGAATATCAAATGGAGGATCTTCAACAGATCAACAAATGGAGTTGATGCAGAAGATGCGTGAAGAGTTTCTACACCAGCTTGACGTACTTCGTCAAGCAAACGAAGCTAGTGTGGCTCAGATCGCCTTGTTTCAACAGCACAATAACACTCTGCAAACGGCGATGGCTCAGTTGGCACCAACGCCACCACTAGGTGACATAGCAGCACCCCCTAATCAGAATATTCCTCCAGTTAACGGGCTTCCACCTAATGGGGCACGACCCAACGAGGCTCAGCCAAATGAGGTTCAGCAACAACAGAGGGCAAGGTCCGAGGCTGTTGCCTCAGACAACGTCCCTCATCGCAAGCAGGATGAGCAAGTCGAGTCTAGCCATAAGCTCACGATGTGGTCTAATGGAATTCCAGATGGTGCAGGTGTTCAGGATGCCTTTGATGAGAAAAGACTCCTGAAGATTCAGACACCTATTGAGATGGCCAGAGAGCACAAAAATTCCCTAGTCAAAACTCCTTTCACTGACGATGTGTATATGGTTGAGAGGCCCAAGAAATTTACCATGCCTTCTTTTACTCAGTTTGACGGTACGGGAGATCCTTCTCGGCACCTAGATCATTACGCCCAAAAGATAGCTTTGGATGATTGTAATGACCCTTGGATGTGTAGAGTTTTTCCTACCAGCTTGACAGGAGCAGCACTAGAGTGGTTCAGGAATAGGCCGCATAAGTCCATCCCGGATTACGTAACTCTGTGCACCATGTTCCTAGCACAATACTGCGGAAATAAGAAGCAAAAGAATAGTATTGTTAGCCTCTTCACCATAAGGCAAAAGAAGGGGGAAACATTGCAAGATTTCTTATCTAGATTCAACATGGAAGCCTTGGAAATAGTATACTGTCATCCCGCGAATGCTATAGAAACATTTAAACTTGCAATGATTCAGGGGACGAAGTTTCACACTTCCTTCGTCAAGTATTCTCCTCCTAACATGCAGACTCTCAATGCTAGGGCCCAGATCTATATTCGGCTCGAGGAAAATGTAGCCCACCGAGTGCAGCACGCCACCCTCATGATAGTGGAGAACAAGCCTCGAGAGAGAATTCCAAATTCAAAGAATCAGAAAAGTCAACGCGCCTTAACGCCAATCACCTAGGTACCTGAGAAGCGGCAAAGGATAGAGAAATGGTTTACACCTCTCCGAACTACCTTGGCTCTGCTCTTCTAAGAGAATAAGATAAAGTTCACAGCCCTGCAGCCAATGAAGCAACCCTTGGAGCAGAGGGACAAAAGCAAGCATTGCGCTTATCACCGAGATTATGGGCATTCAACCAATGATTTCAGATCCGTTAGGCGACAAGTGGAAAATATGATAGCCAGAGGTGAGTTGGCAGACTACCTCATGACAAAGGAGTATGTGAAGCCCCGCGAGGTCTATCCTCGCAAGGTAGAAGGAACTCAGGTAAAGGTCATTCTTTCAATACATGGCAGATCTGAAGATGATCAAGAGTCCGGGGTGATATACAGATTCAGATTGAGGGCAACCCATAAGCTCAGGAAGATATCCTCAATCAATGTTATCGCTTCGGGTAGCATCAGTATTGGATTCGGTGATGGAGACCAATCCAGAGTTCAGCTCCCCTATGAGGATACATTGGTCATCAGTTTTTTAGTGGCAAATTGCATGATCAAGAGGGTTTTGATAGACCCAGGGAGTAGAGCCAACATCATCACAAAGACGGTCTTTGAGTAACTAGAGATCCCGTCATCATCTATTCGACATACCTCCAGCCTATTGATGGGGTTCGATGGCACAAGAGTAGATCCCCTTGGAGTAATAAACTTATCCGTAACTACGGCGAAGAGGACTCTTGTGATACCCCCGGATTTCCGAATGCGGGTTGGCCAGGCCCACGCCCGAACACCCGAGGATATCAAAAACGAATCGGCAATAAACGAACACAGAGTACAAAAGAATAAAGAAGAATAAATAAAATGCTGACAAGAAACTAAAATGATAATCTAATAATAAACCTCATAATATATTTCCATTAATTAATAAACTTTTCTGATACAACTGATCCTCCAAAATACAACTCGGGAATCCATACTGTGTGAACCCCTAGAAAATTCAAACTAAACAAATGACAGTAATCTGAAATAGGAAACTGAATCATAAAGGAACTCCTATGTAGCATTGGCAGAATGAAGTAGACTGATCCCCGCTCAGCACGAACAACTTCTACTCGTGACGAACACCTGAAAAATAATAGTGGGTCAGGCCCACAAACAAGTTCTACTCTACTACAGTTCAAGCAGAGATCCGATACACGTATACATCCTAGTCAATCCAACAGTAACTAGTAGTCCGTATATATATCTATACACACTAAAGGAACCTCACTAGACTATAGGGTTGTCTCAACCTGAATAGTAGGCAACATGCAAAACGCACATATAGTGGGCATGAGTACCTAGACCTACCAGGGTACACAACTACACTATATCTAGCTACACATCCCTGGCGATATACGCACCCTAACCATTGATCCTGAGACTCAAGCTCATATCATGGCACCATACTTATATATATATAATCTAGTAACCATCCTATCCAGTATAAATTAATCCTCAATAAGTCATTCAACTTGTTCAGCAGACCTGACTTGAATATAAGTAGGACTTAACATTTTAGTTAATCCATTCCCTTATATAATAAATTAATCATCCATAAGTCATTCAACTTTCAACTGACCTGACTTAAATATAAGTAGGACTTAACATTTTAGTTAATCCATTCCCTTATATAAAATAGGTAGGACTTAACTGATAAGTTAATCCATCCCTAGAATGCCACCGTCCCATACCGGTGCATTAAACCACACAATCCAACAATTGATGTAACAATTAAGGAAATACATCGAACATTCCATAAATAACTATGATAAATATGATATCAAGTTATCACATAATAGGAATGACTTATTATTTCTTTAAACTTCCTATATCATATGTGCTACACAAACTGAATCTTATACATGATGATATTTTATTATACCGTTAAATAAGAATTCTCTATATCCAATTCATCCTACACATTTAATCTCAATTGCTAAAATATTTTAAAAGATTAAATCCATTCGTTTGTTTAAAACATTCAAATAGCAAGCATCATTATGATTGAGTCTATTTAAATTTATTAAAACCCAAACCTAGTCCCTATTTAATGTTCAGGAATCCTAGGCATGTTTCTACGTTCCATCATTCCACAGATATGAAAAATACATAATTTAAACATGTAAAAATTCACATAAGGAATTAAATCAAAATCATGCATTTTATCAACTCATAACACAAGAACAAATATGAACCAATTTCATAAAACCTATGTTCTAACCCAATTAAACATGCATAATTATTTAATTTTATGTGTTTAATAAATCCTGGAATTTCCTAGGCATGTACAGAAACACGAATCAAAGGGAAAGAGATAGAAGAAGAACTTGCCTTAAGCTTTCGGATCGAAAGTTAAACTTCTTCTTCCTTGATCTTCTCTCTACAGAGTTTTTCTCCTCCTTCCTTCCTTCTCTCTCTAGAATATATCACGTGAATATTTCTAACCCCCTTTTACAACCTGTAGCTGTATATTTATAGGCTAAATAAAATAACCCTAACCCTTTTCCCAATCTAAGTCAACTTAAAAAATAAAATAAAAAAATAAAATATTAAAAAGGTAAGTAAAATATGTTATGTATATAATTTATGTATATCTTTATTAAATAAATAAATTATACACATCTCATTATTTATTAATGGATTATCCAATAATACTTAAGTTACCATAATATTATAAAGTAACTTAAAATATAACACGTATCAAATCTATGTATATTTTTATTATTTAAATATAAAACATATACATCAAATTAAATATTACTACCCAAGTTACCATAAAAGTAATTAATAAATTACTTTCCCTTTTATATATATTAAAAAGGTAAGTAAAATATGTTACGTATATAATTTATGTATATGTTTATTAAATAAATAAATTATAAACATTCCATTATTTATTAATAGATTATCCAATAATACTTAAGTTACCATAATATTATAAAGTAACTTGAAACATAACACGTATCAAATCTATGTATATTTTTATTATTTAAATATAAAACATATATATCGGATTAAATATTACTACCCAAGTTACCATAAAAGTAATTAATAAATTACTTTCATTTTTATATATGTATATAATATATATCTATATATATACATACACAACTATTCACGGGTAATAATCCATACACATCTAACCTCCTATCCAAGTAGTCCATGGGACTCAATTGGTTGGCCAATTACCACTAACCATAACCATAAAAGAAAAATAAAATAAAATAATAAAAGAAACGAAAACATTTAATTTACAATTAATCAAAATATCATTTAAGTACGTAATCTAATTAAACAATTAACACATAGACAAATACAAATAATACATAGACACATAATCAAATAATCAAGTAATACCTAATTCAATTAAACACATAAACAATTAGTCAAATAATCAATTAAATAATTAAAAATATAATTAAAACAAATAAATAAATACCGAGACTATCCTTTTAAAATTAGGGGTATTCCAACTCTGAAGGAGAACTTTGTCTTAACAGAGATCCATCCTTCTTATAATCTCATCATGGAAGAGGCTGGATACACCGGATGAGAGGAGTTCTGTCCACCCTTCATCAGGTGATGCGGTGCTTGTCTCCGGACGGAAAAGAGGTGATTAACCTATGGGGCGATCAAGTCACTGCGAAGGAATACTATATACTGACACAGGCTGAAGCAAAGAAGGTGTCTAGACAGCCTCAACCAGGTGTGACTTCCAGAAATATACTCAAATAGCAATTACAAAGCCCTCTGCCCAAGTATCTTAAGGTAGAGGAGGAAGAGGAAATTGCGAAGCCTACCGAGGAGACCCTCGAAGCCGTAGAAGTTATCCTCGGCGACCCTCAGAAGGTCACTTATTTAGGTTCTTCTTCCACGTCCGAAGAAAATGAAGCATTAATTGATGTCATTCGGAGCAATGCAGATGCTTTTTCATGGGATCACTTAGACATGGTAAGAATCGATCCTTTAGTCTCTTGCCATAGCCTGAAGGTGGATCCAGAGTTCAAACTGGTTAAGCAGAAACACTGAAGGTTTGCCCCCGAACGCAATCGCATTATAGCTGAAAAAGTGAACAAGTTGTTGCAAGAAGGTTTCATTCAAGAAGTGCAATATCCACAATGGCTGTCAAACGTGGTGGTCGTACAAAAGAAGAATGGAAAGTGGAGGGTTTGTGTAGCCTATACCAACCTTAACAAAGCCTGCCCTAAAGATAGCTTCCCTCTGCGAAAGATAGATCAGATGGTTGATGTTACTACTGGCTACGAGAGGCTGACATTCCTTGATGCGTTCTCGAGATACAATCAGATTCCTATGAACCCAGAAGATGAACAGAAAACGGCTTTCATTACAGAAAAGAGGACTTATTGTTACAGGGTCATACCCTTCAGGCTGAAGAACGCTGGGGCCACTTATCAACGCCTTGTTAACAAGATCTTTGACAATTTGTTAGGGAAGACGGTTGAAGCATACATAGATGACATGGTGGTCAAAAGTGTGAAGAATGAAGACCATCCGAAGTACCTCTAGGAAGTTTTTAATACTCTGAAGAAGTATAATATGAAGCTGAATCCATCCAAGTGCTCCTTTACAGTATCACCAGGTCAATTCCTCGCCCATATAGTGAATAAAAGAGGGATAGAGGTAAGCCCGGCTTAGGCTAAGGCCCTCATACAGAATCAGGAACCAAAAAATCGTAGGGAGGTGCAAGTTCTTACTGGTCGGATCGCAGCCCTCAGCCGGTTTATATCCCGATTATCAGATAAGTGCAAACATTCTTCGATGCCATAAGATCTAAAGAATAAGGATATATGGGGACCTCAATAGCAGGAGGCCCTCAATCAGTTGAAACATTATATGGCCGAACCTCCAATTCTATCCACTCCAAAACCCAGAGAGGTTCTTATTATGTACTTAGCAATTTCTAGCATAGCGACAAGTACAGCATTGATTAGAGAGGAAGGAAAGATTCAACATCTAGTC